GGTATACAAAAATAAAAGAGACCGTTTCTGATCTCAAGGATCTAATAGCCTAGTGGAGGAGACAGTGAGTGAGTTAATACTTGTAGCATTTAGTGATAAGTGCTATGTTGGAGGGAAGCCCTGTGTGTTATGAAAGTGCCAAAAAGATGCATCTAATGCAGCTTATGGTAGGGAGGGTTCATTTTCTACAGCAGAAGTGGTTACAGCTGAACTTTGAAGAATTCTTAGGAGTTGCCAGACAGAGAAGTATGGATTGCGTTCCTGTGGAGAGAACAGTTGCAAAACCGTGGAAGGGTAAGCGTATTGTAAGTTGGAGTTTTTGCAAGTTTGTATGGCTGAAGTATGGTATATATGGAAAAGAGACAGAAGATGAAGCTTGACGGGTGCGCAGGGATCCATTCATGCTGGACTCTGTAGGCTAAGTTAATTATTTGGATTTCAACCTGCAGGAAGTGAGGAAGATTTGTATTTTAGAAAGATCACTCTGGATGTCATGTGGAAAAAGGATCAGAAGGAAATCAGTGTGGATATTTCAGCAATAATCTAGGAAGGAGATTGTGCAGGCTCAAATTAAGGTGATACCATTGTACATAGAGAAGAGAATAGACTCTAGAGGTGATTTCTAGACAGAATGAATTGGACCAAGAAATAGAATCTATTGGACATGAGCAAAACTTTGAGACTCAAAAATAGTGAATTAAGACAGATATGCAGGGTGGCTAAGAAAGATGCCTGATTCCTGACTGGTCCTCTAATCAACGGAAGAAATGAAAAAGGTACCAAGCATAATTTTTACTTTAACCATTGTGATGAATATTTATAGCCATCCAAATTTGTGAAGTATGTCCAAGTACTCTTTATTTATGTCTATCATCTCTTAATGAAAGTTTAGACTGAAAAGAAAGTGAATGGTTTAAAAGGGGGCAATGACAGCAAATCTGTAAAGTCTTGGGACTTTATGTAGTGGAAGAAGAAACCAATAAAAAATAAAATAGAATTAGGATATGTGCTTTCAAATCTACAACATTAATAACTGACTTTTGCAAAGAATGTGGGGGAAATATTATTTTAATTTTTCATTTGGCAAAAATAGAACAGAACACAGCCAAACAGACAAACAAACAAGAACCCCTGAGGCTCAGATATTAAATGATTTGCTTGAGGTCACACAAAGCTGTAGGTGGGAACTCACAGCAAATCCCAGAGCTCCCTGTAAGACATTGTGATAACTCCATGACATGTGCCCAGCATGTTTAGGGTCCAAGTCGTGAAAAGTAAAATGAGTGGCCTTTTGGAGGAAAAAAATGAGTAAATACTGAAAATAATAATGAAGAACCTATAAAAACTTTTGGAATATATATCAAGTGAAATGATTATTTGGAGTTCTATTGAAATGAGAGATGGGAGGAAAATAAATCATGAAAAGGAGTTCTGTGTTATTTACACGTTATACAAGCAAATTTTATCTGGAAATTACTTATTTGTGTAAATGTTGTTAGAATTTTAAAAAATTTATTTAGAGAATATTGACAGGATATAAGATAGCTGGTATTTAGATTTCCAATTCATTTCAACCATTGTGTTAAGTTTGGCCCTCTGCTATGTACCTAGCAGTGTGACAAGTTCTAAGGGAGTTACACGTGATATATGAGATAGTTCTCCCCTCAAAGATCTTAAAGTGTTGTTAGGGATACTAGACTTGCAAACATGAAACTCATTTAGAACCATCAAGAACAGGTTATTAACAGTGATAAACTGATATCATGAAGTGACAAAAGTTTTTTTTTTAATTGAGTTAATGATAGGTTACAATCTTGTGTGATTTCAGTTGTACATTAATGTTTTTCATTCGTGTTGTAGGTGCACCACTTCACCCTTTGTGGCCACCCCCTACCCCACCTTTCCCCTGGTAGCCACTAATCTGTTCTCTTTGTCCACATTTTTAAATTCCTCGTATGAGTGGAGTCATACAGAGATTGTCCTTCTCTAACTGGCTTATTGTGAAGTGACAAAAGTTTTGAGGCAGATAATGGGTGCTCTGAGTGGTCAGAAAAGGGACATAGTGATAATGTCCGGAGTCAATTAGGAGGCTTCGTGATGGTATAACTCTTAAGATGGGCCCAGAAGGATTAAAGGGATTTGATTTTTCAAGAAGAAAAGGATAGGACTAGTAAAGTAAACAAGTTTCATTTTGTGTTTTCCAAAAAAAAAATCAGATTTATTCTAGTATTTCATCCGTTCACTGCAGTGTTACTTAATGAAATATTGGAAACAACTTAAATGTCAAACCATAGAATAGGGGAAATATTAATATTTCATGCTATTTCTTACAATTAAATGTTATTCAGCTAGTAAAAGTAATTAAAGAACCATGTGGCCTGGTGGAGGAGCCTGACCGATAGTCCGTTAAACTACCAGTTCTACGCTTGCTAGCTTTGTGCCTTTGGGCAAGTCACTTCCTCTTTTGGAGCTCTGGTTCATTTAACTTTAAATGGAAATGATAATAACTATGAAAGTTATTGTGAGGACTAAAAATAATGTATATAGAGCACCTGATAAATAGTAGACATTCGATAAACATTATAATTCATATGTACACTGTTGGTATGTAAAGAGTTACTGCCTTTCTCAAGGGAAATGTCTCAGTTCTTACCAAAAGCGTTAAAATGTGATTTTCCTCTTTGACTTGGCAATTCCACAATTAAAAATTTATTCTAAGGAAATAACTAAAGATGTCTGCGTGTATTTAAAAGGATATTCTTTGCAGCATTGAATAGAATAGTGAAAAATAACCCAAATTTCACAAATAGATGATTGATGAAATAAATTGTGATTCACTTATATAAAGGAAAATGATAAAGCCATTAAAATGATGATGTAGAAATGTATTTCTGATATAGAAAGTAGGAAAAGCAGATTTTAAAACTATATATAGTATAACCCCATTTTGTAAATGTGTATTTATGCAGAGAAAATTTTCTAGAAGGATAATACCATCAAAATGTTAACTATGGTTGTTTCTGAATAGTGGGCCTTTAGGTGATTTTTATTTTCTTCATTGTGCTTACCTGAATTTTTTGCTTTTATGATAATGAATACAGATAATTCAAAATTTAAAAATAGGAATGGGTTAGGGAGCTGGCCCCGTGGTGCAGTGGTTTAGTTTGCATGTTCCACTTCAGCAGCCCAGGGTTCGCCAGTTCGGATCCCGGGTGTGGACCTACGCACCCCTTGTCAAGCCATGCTGTGGCAGGCATCCCACATATAAAGTAGAGGAAGATGGGCATGGATGTTAGCTCAGGGCCAGTCTTCCTCAGCAAAAAGAGGAGGATTGGCAGCGGATGTTAGCTCAGGGCTAATCTTCCTCAAAAAAAAACAGGAATGGGTCATTATTAAAAATATTTAGGGACATAAGATAATGCTTACGATTTAAAGAAAAAGCGATTTAAAGCTTACATATTCTATGATCTCAATTTTGTTAAAGTATTTTTCTACGTATGCCTAAAATGAATGACTGAATTTTGCTTTTGTGGCTCCTTCTCTCAAAATGTAGCAAACCTTCTAAGAAATGGAGGAAATAAGATGTAGTGAAGTTGCAGCAAGCAGCGGTTAGCCTCGTGTTTGTCTGGATAAACACCATCACTTTCTTACACTCCCTTTTGTGTTTCCTTCATTTTCATCACAGCTTTAACAGTTGGCTTTCTGGACTGTTTTCAAAAAGAAACAAAATTTAAGCATTGCAAAAAGCCACTCTCCCCCTACCTCCCTCTTTTCCTTTTGTCCTTAGTAGGACCCAGCAAATTCAGTGCCTAGTAGTGGCTGGGGATATATAATGGTGAACTAGAGATGTAGTTCTTGGAGCCTACTGTCTACTTGGGAGAGATAGTCAACAATTACCCAAAGAAGTATATAATGAAATACTGTGCTAACTACTGTGAAAAAAAAATAGGATACTATGACAGAGGAAAATGGGAGTGGAGGTCAGTGAATCGACTTAGAGAGGGAAGTCAGCAAAGACCTCCGTGGGGAAGTGACATTTCAAGTCAGCCTTGAAGTACGAGTAGGAGATGGTCAGACAAAACATGGAGGGAAAAGCATTCTAGAAAGAAGGACAAGCACATATAAAGATTTTCCGGCAAAGAATAGCTGTGTGCATTCAGAAAACTGGGGCAAGAGCCATGTGTCTGGCTCTTGTAGTAGGACATGAGGTTGGAAGGTAGGCAGGGACCTGGTATAATATGTTAGGAATTTTGGATTTTATTCTGAGGGCAATGGGCAGCCACTGAAGGATTTGCATGAAACAGTTTATATTTTTAAAAGATCTCTTTGGCTGCTCTGAGGAGAAAGATCTGGGGAGAGGCAAGAGAGAAGCAGGAAGATGAGTTAGGAGGCTTTTAGAATTGATCAGGAGATGATGGTGCCCTGTAATGACAGTGAAAATAAAGAACAGAAGATGGTTTGGAGGTGCATTTGGCAGTAGCATTGACAGGACTTAGTGACGGATTGGATTAAGGGAGCGAGAGAGAGGGAACAGGTGCTGTCAAGGATGATTTTTAGAATACTTTGCTGGAATCACTTGGTGGATTACATAGATGGTGGAGTAGGTTTTTTTGGGGGGCGGGTGAGGAAAGAGATAAGAGTTCAGTGTTGGACATCTTTACTGTGCAATATCTCTAAGATTCCCAAGTGGAGAATCGAATAGATGAGGTCTTTTACTTAGAAGAGCTAACCATCGGGGGTGGAGGTGCACGTTTCATAGTAGTTTGCACAGATAGTGCTGAAAGCCCTGTGAATGGATGAGAATGTCCACGGAGAGAATGTGGAGAGAGGAATGAGAGTCCAGGGCTGAGGCCAGAGGAATTCCAACATTTAAACATTGAGTGTGGGGGAGGCAGTAAGGCATGTTGAGAGGGATATATTAGGGAGGTAGGAGGAAGACTAGGAGAAGCCAGTGGGAAGCCAGTGGGAGAGAATTTCAGGGAGGGAGGGATTGGCTGCATGGAATGTGCTGAAAGGGCTGATAAAATGATGACTGGAAGATACCCATTGGATTTGACAACATGGAGGCTCTAGGTGATGGTGGAAAAAGCAGATTCAGTGCAGTGGTGGAGGTGGAAGCCAGACTGGAGTGAATGGAAGAAAGACTTGGAAGTGACAGAGAGATGAGAGAGTGTACACAACTCTATAATCTTGGCTCTGGAGAGGCCAACACCTGGAGAGGAATGTCAAGTCAAGGGAGGGCTTTTGTTTCCTTTTGACAAGGGAGATTCTAGAGGTTATTTGAATGCTTATGGAAATGATTTAGTAGGGAGGGAGAGATTAATGATGTAGGAGAGACAACTGATGGACGGAGGGTACTAGTGGTGGGATTGACGTTTGACAGGAAGAGGAAAGAAGGAGGTGCAGGTAGGCCTTTGACATCTGCTATATGTTGAGTATGTACTAGGTACTATTCTAAGTGATGGACACAGTGATTTAGTATCCACAATAACCCCATAAAGTTGGTATGATTGTCCCCATTTTACAGATGAGGAACCTGGGGTTCGGTAGAGATGGAGCCAAAGTCTTAATACAGACCTGTGTGCTTTCAGAGCTCAGAATCTTAGCTCTTACTTAGACTTTTATGGAATTTCCTCTGTGCTGGTGTATTAGTCAGTTTGTTAGAGTTGCCATAACAAAGTACCACAGGCTAGGTGGCATTAACAACAGAAATTAATTTTCTCGCTCTCCTGGAGGCCAGAAGTCCAAGATCAAGGTGTCGGCAGGTCTGGTTTCTCCTGAGGCCCGTCTCCTTGGCTGGCAGCTGGCCGCCTCCTCTCTGTGTCCTCACACGGCCTTTTCTCTGTGCACACGCATCCCTGGCGTCTCTCCTGTGTCCTAACCTCCTCTTCTTATGAGAACACCAATCAGACTGGATTAGAGCCCACTCAAAGGGCTTCATTTCAGCTTAATCACCTCTTTAAAGGTCTTATCTCCAAATACAGTCACATTCTGAGATTAGAACTTCAACACATGATGGGGGCGGGGGGCGGATCACAATTCCGTCCATAACAGATGGTGTCTGTTTACTTAAAGTATAAGGAAAAGAGTGGGTGTGAGGGGAGTTTTGAAGAGTGTGGAGAGGGATGAAACAGTGATTGAAGAGGGTAGAAGGAGCTTACCAGAGAAATGCAGCCTTTGGGTCAGTTGAGGTGGGAGATCATTTGTTATATCCATCCAGCCCAATTACATGAATTTCTGCAGCACTATTCACATGTACGGTTGGAGTAAAGAACAAGAACTCTGTGCTGCCATGAGGCTTCTGGTTGCTCATGTGGGCTTAGTAACCAGCCAAATGACCATCTCTCATGTGCAAAGTTGAAATGTAAATGAGTTTGTTCACATCCTCAGCACAAGTACAAATTACTATATGTTAGGGATCTTTCTAGCTGTTCTCAAATAGTTGAAAACATAAAAGTTAAGTAAATCTATGACTGCTAAGATTTTGTTACATTCACCAATGCACAAATTAGCCTGAACATTTTTCCAACTAGTTCTGTAAATTGTCTTTCAGGATTACTCACCACTGTCTTTGTTTTTTTTTCTCTCCCCCCTCTTCCTTTCCATCTTCACTTAGTTATTTATTGAGCACCTACTAGATGTCTGGCACTAGGGATAAAAAGAGCCCACAATCTAGGGTGGGAGATATATACATATATACGTGTGTGTGTGTACATATATATATATGCAATCCCCCCAAGTGCTAAGTACTATTATTAAAGTAATAATCCATTTATTGATTTATCCTGCAAGTATGTCGAGTGCCTACTAAGTGCCAGGCAGTGTGTTAGGCTTGGATAGAGACATGAGTAAGATATAGTTTCTGCCTTCAAGAAATTTACAACAGGGTATAGAAAAATAAACAGGTAAGTAACCAGAGTGCAAGGTGATATTTGTCAGATATGAAAAGATCTCAAAGAAGGGGAGTGACTCTGGTCTTTGCTTTCCCTTGCATGTTTGGATACTCATTGAAAGGCGCCGTTAGTGCATTTTAATGAAACGACCTATAAAAAGAACATTCATTCATTTCACAAATATTTCTGAATGCTTGCTGTCGTTGTGAAGTGACAGTTTTGTAGCTCTCGAGTTATGGGCAAGTGTTGGCTGGGGGAGCCTATGACTTTTCTCCTCATTTGAGCTTATTGTCCACAACCTGCACTGTCCACACCTTTTTTAGGTGGTGGAATGATTAATGATGTTTCTGAACCACGCAACAGAGCCTGCTGAATTAAAGCATGAGAAAAGTCACAGTAACAAAGCATTGCTGTGATGGTGGGCAAGCAGAAAGCATATGCTGGCTCAGCACATATCTCAAATATTTTGAATTCAGAAGTATATATTAATGTGGGTGTTCTCTGTGATGTGTTTTAAAAAAAAGATGGTGGACAGCAGATCAAAAATACTGAGAAAAAAATGGATTTTTGTGGATTATGTAATTGAAACATTTTCAAGTATCCTCTATTTTAACCTTATCTCAGGAAAAAAGTAATTTATACCCCAATACTTATAAGGTTAATTGAGACAATGGATATGAACTTGGTGCTTTCTTTAGAGCTGATGTGCTATACAAACTCAAGGTATTATTATTGGCAATCTAGACTATTTTTGTGGGAAAATGCTAACCATACTATGGAAATAGTGCAGGTAGTAGGAGGGAGAAAAGGCAAATCTGATAAATGGTATATGTGGGATTTAGAATCAATTAACTTAATAATAATAGCTGAAAATTGCTTTGATGTCATGCAGTGAACACCCCTTGTCTGTATACTGACTTCATTTCAGAGTCATATCCAGAGTACGTCATGGTGGAAAGAACACTGGACAGGAGTCAGGATTTCTAAGTTCTAGTCTAGCTCTGCCATTGGCTACCTATGTGCCTCATTTTCCCAATCTTTAAAATGAAGTGGTTATGGGAAAAGGTCTCTAAGGTCCTTCTAGTTCTGATATTTATTATTCTGTGATTCTGTGTCCCACGCCTATCAAAAGCATTTTGACTTTCTTTAAGTTGCTTAAGCCAGCATTTCAGTTAGAATGCATCCAGGAGCTTGTTTCCATGGGCTGTTGGGAACAGCAAGGCCTTGCTTCTCCAGGACTTGATATGTCTTCTGTTAACTGCTGACAGTGAGCCATACCACCTAAAAGGCTCCCTTGGTACCCTTAAAGATTGAAAGGACAAATGGACAGTGTTGAGAGCTCTGTGGAAGAGGAGACCTGAGAGACGTTGATCATCATGGCCCGTTGGGATTTGCAAAGAGGAATGACTAGAACTGGGCCATTCACTGCAGCCAGGTCAAAGGTCAGGTCAGGAATGTGGACAATGCTGGTGACTCCAGGTAGGTCTAGGAGGGTAAATAAGCCTATTAAGTCCCTCCTGAATCTTGAGAAGATCTGGGCAGCCAAGCTCAGAAAGCTATTAGCGAGTCTCTTAATTTATGAAATTCTTTGGAAGAAAAATGTAACATTCATTTTTTCTGTTTTATTACCATTCAAATTATTGTAATACTCACCAAATTAATCTACTTTTAACATATTCTCCCAGTTCATTCACTAAACACACTCTTATGATCCCTTTTTGAGTTAAATATCTGGTTTCGACTGATGCCATTATGCTATGGATTCCCTATATTTTAGGATTTTTAGAGTGTTGTGGAAAGACCTTTGAGTTTTTTCCTTTAGTTTTAGTTAAGCAATATTAAATATAATTCTCTGGTAGCAGAGATTTATATCTATTATTATTTTGCTAATAATAAGCTAATGGGGATGATTGTAAAATGATTTGGAGTACTGCCTTTCTTAATGATAAAAAAAAGTAATGAATAATTTGTGAGTAAGATATTAAACCAGATAACTAAAAATAATTTTGTGTGCTGAATACAATTTTAAGAAATTAAAAGTCTTTTGTAATTGTTTCTATCGTGGAATTCCAGTAAGAATTTACATATTTTCCTTAAAATACTGATTAAATTCCTGTATCTGATCATTAAAAAAAAATAACTGTATACTTAATACATATTACAAGATAATTCTTCTTTTTTTGTTGTTTTGCTTTTATCTAGTTGCTTCCAAGATCCGGTACTTACAGGAATATCATAACCGGGTTCTCCACAACATTTATCCTGTACCTTCAGGAACAGATATTGCAAACACCCTGAAATACTTTTCGCAGACCTTGTTAAGGTAAGCTTTAAAATATCCTCTACTTTGAAAGAATTAGTAGGTAGTACTGCTGAATTGATTGGGATCTAAATTTTTACTGAACTGAAAGTTTTGAAGTGCCTTACATTTTCTAGTGCTCTGCCAGAAGAGTCTGGACTCAGGTTCTCTGGGTGTATATAGCAGATCAGATCACAGGCTTAACTGAAAAAAATGGGCTGCATGGCTTCTGCCTGCTTTCCTCAGTTGAACATCTTTTCAGAGATTTATACAGTGATAAAAGTTATTTGTCTGGCACTAACATAGAGTGGTATTAAAAGGAGAACCTACATGGCTTAAAATTAAGAATAGGAAACACTTGTGGTCTTAAAGAAAATCAGAATTATGTAGCATTTTAGGTTCACCAATAGTATTTCCTATTTCTCAAAGTATAATATATGATAATAACAATTATTTTTAATGTGTGTAACACTTCACGTGTTCACCATGCTTTACAATTGATATGGAAATTATATGGAGAACAAAGAAACAAAAACAAATACTGTTTGCTTTTACTGTAAGGTAGAGACAGGAGGAAGCCATCTGCTTCACAGTTCTCATTAGGGAAACAAGCAAAGGCGAGCTCTTCAAGTAAAGACTCAATTGTTTGGGAAATAACATCAAAGTGAGAGAAACACTTCACTTTCCATTAAATTCTAAGGCTTGATCTCTTCCATTACAGTGATCTTCTCGCTCTAAATCTGATTTTGGAAACACAGAAATTAACTGCTACTGTTTCTTCTAGCTGTACAATAGCAAAAGTTTTGTAAGCTAGGTATTAGGTAAAGAACACCAATTCGGAATGACTGTAATGACACTAGAGTTCCCAGTGGTCTAAGGCTTTGCCTTGGGCTGACTGAACACTTGGTGGAAAGAAGCTTTACGCAGTTGTCAGACAGCAGTCTGCTGCAGTCCTGCTGTGTCTGTGTTCTTCTTGTTCTTTGGGATATCTTTCCTTATTTAGAACCCTTAGTGTCCCTGTTCTCTATTAAAGAGATTCTGTTGATCAGATTCATAGATTTCATACTTGCATAGTAAGTTTAGGACCTTGTTACAGAATATTTCCTTTCTTTTCAAATTGCAGTGGAATAATTAGCTAAGTTTTTATAGTAATAATCAGATAAGTTTATAGACCAAGCCATCTGATTCTGTTCTCTTGAATTCTCCTTTTGTCTTTGAGGTCAGGGTTCTTAATGGGAAACACTTTCCTTTAACACAAATTCTGAAGGTTCTCGAAGTGAGACGTGCTTTTCAGTGGGAAGCAAATTCTGAATTTCATTTGTAAAGAAACTATGACATCCTAGTTGGCACTTCGAAGCTTACTGCTTAAGTCAGTCATTGTGCCAAAAAATTAAGAAATTTAGGATACTGAAGTCATGATTACAAGACATGAAGCTTCCATTTTCTTGTGCAATGGGTCATTAAGATATGATCATAGGTGATAGCATTTTAATGGTGAAACTGGTGTTAAGGTAGTTTATTCATGTGGCTGTTGGAGAAGATTCTACGCAATTGAGCCAAGTCCGTTTTCGAAGGGAGACAACGTCAACAACTACTACTAATGGTAAAAAAGCTATCATTATGGTAGCGATATTGTATTATAATAATAGTAATTATATGTGTCAAGCACTGTTCGAAGCGCTTTACACGTGTCATCTCATTTAAGCCCTCATAATAATTCCATAAAAGTGTATTTTTACCCGTTTTACAGATAAATTAAACTAAGGCAGAGTGCTTAAATGAAATGCTCAAAGTTACATATCTAGTAAGTGTTGGAACCAGCGTTTGACCTGGTGGTCATAATGCACAGCACACGCTCTCAACAGTCAAGCTGTACTGCTTCTCCTTAGTACTACTAGTTATCCTATACCAGGGACGCTTCTCTTAGTGGAAACTTGGTTTGGCCTTTGGGAATGCTGGCATCTGTTCTGAGTCCATAGAGTATTTTTGGCTGTCCTTGAAATTAAGAGAAGAAAGGAAGTGCTTAGTGTAAAGATTTACCTTCTTTTTGGCAGTTAAATTGAGTTATACCTGAGGTTATGTGGACAGTGTTCCAATTCCCAGATCTTTTAGCTCCATCTCCCACTCAGCAATTCTTTGTGGATAGCAGATCAGGGCAGAGTTGACAGCCTATAGGAAACACACAAACGAAGTGGGGGAAAGAAAGAAAACATTGAGGAATGTAACATGTTATGGGTTGGACTTTAATACTTACAGGTTCAACTCTTGGGCTGAACCCAATGCTTTTTCTATCTTCTTTTTGCCTGCTTCAGCTTTTTTTTTTTTTTTTTTTTAATCTTTCATTTCTTTTGTTTACTGGAAATACAAAACTTACAACTATTGTCCTATATATTGGACCGAGTCATGATCACTTTCACTTTTGTTATATACATCCATAAGAGTCATATTTATATTACCTTATTTTATTTATGCTATTAGAAAATTCAAGACAAATAACTTAGTCTAGGTATTTGGTGCCAAGATTATTGTCAGTAAGATTTTCTGCTTAAAAACAAGATGGTTCCTTTTGTGTTTTACATAATTTATTGTATACATTCAGAAGCACTTCTTGCTTTCAGAATTCAGATTCTTGGAAAGAAATAAGAAGAAAGAATTAGAGATGAATTTGCACAGAATAACCCTCTGCCTTTCTATTTGGATTTGCTCAAGGAAGTTAAAATGATTATTATTTTGGTTAAAATATTCAACTTGAAGTTCCAGCAGCTTCATTTGAGTCAGAATTGCATCTTTAGAGTAATAGTCCTCTGGTTATTCATGCATGCAGCCACCCCTGGTTGTCTAGTGGTTAAGATTCTCTCAGTGCCCTGGCTCGGGGTTCATTTTCCAGTCAAGGAACCACACCACCCGTCTTTCAGTTGTCATACTGTGGCAGCTGTGTGTTGCTGTACTGCTGAAAACTATGCCACCGGTATTTCAAATACCAGCAGGGTCACCTATGGTGGGCAGGTTTCAGCAGAGCTTCCAGACTAAGACAGACTAGGAAGAAAGACCTGGCCACTCACTTATGAAAAAATTGGCCATGAAAACCCTATGAATAGCTGCAGAGCATTGTCTGATATAGTGCCTGAAGATGAGAGGATGGTGCAAAAAGATCGGGCAGCGTTTTGCTCTGCTCCACAGAGGGTCGCTAGGAGTTGGAATCGACTTGAGGGCACTATCAACAACAATAAATTCATGCATGCATGTAACTCTCACTGATTTCAATAGAGTTTTGTACATATTTCTGAAGGCAGAGATTAGCCTAGGTGTTTAACTTCAATTAATTTAATCCACAGGAGAGGAGAGATTATGTTACCATAATTGACTATATCAGCAGTTGAATACTCCACATATGTTCCCTCAGCTCATAATGAGATTCATGTTAGAGTTCAGGGATGTTCCCTACACTCTAGGTTAGTGGGAGGCAAGCCCTGTGTGTTAGCCCTTAAGCCTAGAGCAGTGTTTGGTTCTTAGAAGGGGATCAGTAAATGTTTGTTGAGTTGAGTTGACTTTACTTCAAATTCCATCCATTGCAGGAACACTTCTAGAGCATTTACTTCATCCAGCAGTGACTTGGTGTCCCGGGTAAAATTTCATCTGAGTGCTGAGTTGTACTCATTTTAAGATAGTAGGGACCTAATTGTGGTGAATGGACACATAGTTTATACACAACTTCCGAGTTTAGTTTTTTGTGCACTTTTAGTATTACAAGCAACTATGAAGATCTTCTAGTTTAATCCTGCCTCATCGCTGCAGAGGAGTCTGTCCGTTTTCTATTAGAAGCATCCTGGGGCCGTATTTTAAACATCTATGGTCTTCTTTAAGGACCTTTTACCTGGCAGAACATTTAAAGGTTTCCAGTCTTCCTATGTCAAACATTCTTTTGGAATTCCTTCTTCTAGATCTCTCTTGTGGCGCCATTCAAGCTGCTAGCACATACAATATTTTTAAAAATCATTAAGTCTGGGGAAAGCTACTTGCTGTGAGCTCTTTAGAAAATGTTTAATATGTTTTTAGAAGGGATTCTAGTCTCAGCTCAATCATCTTAATTGAATTGTAATTTCTGATTGCTTAGGAAGAATATATAGACCTTCAAATTATTGAAGTCCACAGAGTACGTTTAGAGCATAACATGGTCAAATAAATTTTGTTTAGCGCATAGATTCAACTCAAATGTCAAAATTCATAATCCTAGAAAGTTTACTTGATGTGTTAATTTTCTGTGCTATAAATACCTCAGGGCAACTTTTCACCTGTCCTCACACTAACAGAGGTCTTCTCTTGGTTTCTCTTGCTGTTGGAAGTAAATGCTTGATAAAGAGGATCTCAGGAGGGAAAAGGAAAGGTGAAAAGTTGGCTGCTGGGTCAAACTCTTCTGAGCAAGGCATTCGTAATCTTCTCTTTGGTTGGGTGCATAGACCTCTGGGGAAGAATTTCAGATGGGGAAGATGGTTTTATCATTCCCAAGATAGACAGTTTGGTTGGGGAAATAAGTTTGTTTTTTCCTGAATAAACTTCACGAAACATCATAAAATCACAATGCATTGTACATTTATTCATGAGCCCTTCTTCAGTTTTTCCACAAATGAAAACATTTCCTTACATTGAAACATGAATGATAATTTAAAACTGGTTTCATAGATAACTCATCTTCAGCCATTTTTTCTCAACCTCACCTACTTATTAACTCCAAAGGCAGTGAGAGAGAAATTTTACTGTTTCAGTGCTGACATTCTTCCCTCCCTGCATGTATGAAGTTGTTGCTCAGTCGTTTGGGAACCCCGCATATACAGGAAGGGAAAAATATCAAAGTAGACTCTCCAAAGTTGATTTGACTAGTGTTTGTTAAATTATATCAAACTTTGGAAATTTACCAATGTATATTTGAAAAAAATAATGTGCTATATTTCCCCCACCAAGGAAAACGTTGATGAGAGCACTGTACTTAATTTAAAGGATAGCATTAAGATGCTATATGATATGATCTAAAGCTAATTTTGTTCTCCATGGCAAAATGTTGTTTTTCTATACCACTTCTATAAGATCCACATCTTGTAATTTTGAAAAGATGCTGGTGGTAGGCTGATTTAGGGCTGAAGTTTGGGAAAGTATTTCTAACTTATGTCCATTGTGATTCTAAAGGAATTATCAGTGGGATAGAATCCTACAGGATTAAAATGGGTTTTTGGTGACAGGGCTTATCAAGAATATAACATTTAAAGGTGGTACTTTTAGGGGTAATCGAGTTATATTAGGAAAGTTATAAAGTCTGATGGAAAATCTAGTGGCATTTATAATAGATGTAGGCAGGCCGGGGTAACTGGGATGTTGATAGTATCCCATTGTCAAGTACAAGCTTTACAAAGTTAAATACATGACACACACAAAAAGGTAAATTAAATCCCTTTAGAAGTAAAAAAAACCCCCACTAAATCTTAAGTTATTTATTGCTAAGAAGTATGACATAACTATTCTGAAATTATTTTTATTATTATTAATTGTTTTTCCCTGGACATTGGGTAACAGAAGACAAAGGAAATTGAGGTAAATTAGGCACATGGAAAATAAAAAGCATGTAGTCATTTTTCTCACATTGTAACATATTTTGCACTAAGAGTAAATAAGAATAAATGTAAATTTGAAATAGCAAGCATGCTTGACACTAACCAATTCTTCACACCACTGTAAATTGTAAATGTAATATCATTAACTAAGAACTTAGTAATGTTTGGTGCACATAGAATAAGTGTAAAACAAGGTTATTTTTATGTAATGAAGCATTTATAAGTTGTTATCTATTCTGATTAACATATAAGTGTACTAGATAAAAGCACTATGGAAGTACAATAGATATTATCATTATAATGTATAGCTATTGTCTTTAATGATAAATAGTATAACCTAATTTAAAAAAACCTAAACATTTGGCTAAACAGTCATTTCTTCTATTTTTAGATTAACAACTTTTCTGCTTTATGGCTTTTACTAAAACGTTTTTGTTTACAAAGTAAGGCTAAGAAAAAGCCAATTTATTTCTAGAATTTATTTTTATTCCCATTAAACTTTTTGTTAACTTTCTAAATTATCTTTCCTTTAGTTTTTAGTGAGTTTTGTTGAATAATAACGTAAGTAGCAGCAGTAATATATGAGATCTTACTGTATGACGTGCAGCTCTATGACAGATACTGCTTGCTTAGTCTTTAGAATTTGGAAGGTAACTATTTAATAAACCACTGTTTGTATTCATAAAATAAAATGTTTCCTCCCCAACATGCAAAATTAAAAAAACACACATAGATAACCATTATCATTAGTTCACAAACATATGCTACGGACCATCTACTATATATTATTTTATAGCTTTTCCAATGTAGTTTAGCTAACATTTTAGAAATATGTATTATTTCTAAATTCATATGCCTGTTTAAACTTCATTATCTCAAATGATACTGACAGAATGTCATGAAACAGTATCATAATATACATATAGACATTATTTTGATGCAATAAACATGTGATTTTTAAGACTTTCTTAATAAACACACATGTTTATTCTTTGCTAAAACATGTTTCTGCAAGTGCCATACCTATATTTTGCAAGTTTTTATATACCTGATTAAGACAGTCTTGCTGAAAACTTCCTTTGCTTTGAAAACTCCTTTTAATTAGAAATAAAAGCCCTAACTCATTAGACGAAGCCACTGTTTTTCCTTCCAGGAAACCTCTCCTTCTCCAAATCAATAAACTGTAAAACATGGGTTTGGCACTGAAACATGCATTTTTATATTTTTGCTCCTTACTAACCAGATAACACATGAGATGCAATGCAACTTCCACAAAATAAACCTTGCATTATTGGTATCTCCGAGCATGAAGCTATGCGACCCGTACTAGATTTGTAGATGCTGCTGGTGTGGCAATTGCATCTTATGTGGGATGTATCTGGTGTTTTATTATTTGTTTTAGAGTGTCATTTCAATGTAATGTGCTGTTCTTTGTGTCTTTGTTGTCTCTTTTTTTTCTTTGTCCCCCCAACAGCATTTTGTCCCGCACAGGGAAGAAGGAAAACCAAGATGCCTCCAATTTGACAGTGCCCATGACCATGTGTCTTTTTCCTGTGCCATTCCCACTCACCCCATCTCTAAGACCGCAGGTCAGTTCCATCAACCCTACTGTTACTCGCTCCCTCCTTTACAGCGTCCTGCGAGATGCTCCCTCTGAACGCGGCCTGCAAAGTCGTGATGCTCACTTGTCAGACTACCCTTCTTTGGACTATCAAGGCCTCTACGTGACTTTGGTGACTCTCCTGGATCTAGTTCCTTTACTACAGCATGGCCAACATGGTGAGCATTTAATTGAAACTTTTGAAAATGTGCATGTTATGTTTATGGATGCTGGAGACTGTTATTGTAATAAATTGCTTAAAAGGTCTTTGTGCGGCTACAGCCTTTCTTACACTGAAACTTAGTTATGGTGTTGCCTATCCTATCAGTTTTTGCTGTTTTATGACCAGAGGGAGGCTATCCAAGTGGGCCTGCACTGGGGGTAATGGGCTGGAGAAAGGAGGAAGGCTGTACCAGGAACTTCTCTCTTCTCCCCTGATATGCTTATCATGGAGATTCTTGTTGAGACTATGATTTGGGGGCTAAGGTTTAAAAAATTGCCCCCAGAAAATGTTAGAGGTAGAGCCTGGGGAACAAGTCGGATCCACTGACTAATTCTGTGGTTTTTGGGGGCAAATCACAGAATCTTTCTGGGACTCATTTTTCTTGTCTGTAAACCCAGAAAGTTAGATAAGGAGAAATCTCCAAGTTTAATAATCAATAATTATTACAAAATGTTGGCCAAGTGGTACAGTGTATAGTGGTGCTACGTGCTGTATATGGTATATAATATACCTTTTTCCTGGTGCTGTAGGACAGAAGCCTAGCAGCATGCTGCTTTTCTTAACTCTTCCCTTTTCTACTGTCTTTAGTCAATTTCATTATCTTGCTTGCTTACCAAATTCTTTTAACCTATAAAAAGGAGAACAATAATATCTACCGTTTAACTATTCAGTATTATATTTTGGAGAATCAAGTGGAAAACCATACAATAAGAAAAAGGATTTTTGCAGAAAATGAACTTTTAAGACATCAATTGTCTTAACTTTAAAGCACTGATAATTCGGTCTCTGGAAGTATGATAATCAAAGTTTCACTGTACAGAAAAATTGGAATTTGAGAAATGGATGGGTGGTGGGGGTTATTTTGCCTTTTAGTTATGGTTAACTCTCCTAAGAGAATGCTTAATGGTTTATTTAGAAAGATGTTTTCCTAATTTAAAAAAAACTTTAAGAAAACTACTTTCATAAAAATGATGAGACTGATTATTGAATTTGTTTTTTCTTATATATATAATTCTGTATTATAGTGAATATAAAAAATGTAGAAATTTGTAAGTTTGCTTAAGTATAATTTCATACCTATTTTAAGCGTAGTCACTTTTATTGTGATCCTGTCCCAGCTCAGCTCAAAACTTAAAGGAGATGACTCTTTGAACATAAGACTGCCAGAGCTTACCGTGGTGGTGAGCTTGTCAGCTTTTCCTTTGTGACTGCCGGTCCTGAGGTCATCGTGGACCTGCGTGGTCCCGGGATGAGCTGCTGTGTTAGGGCAGCTGTCCTTTATCTTCAAAGCCACTTCATTAGGATAAAACCATTCACTTTGGTAACTCAAAATCCATTTAATTGCAATTAATGTTTAAATTATGACAGTTTCAGAGGGGATGATTTGTATTTTTGCTTTTGTACCTACAGCTATTTTGCAACTTTACTCTTCACTGTTACCTATAGAGTGTGTTCTCGTTCTGCAGAACAGAGCTTAGAAGATAGGAAAAAACTCACTAGACCATCCCTTAGAGGTTAAAAAACAATACAGCATTGTTTCTCTGAGTGTGATCTGAACAACATCAGAATCACCGGGGGAGCTTGGGACATGGAATTCTGGGTCCCAGGCTAAGATTTCTGGATAACAATCACCGAGGGGTGGGTCCTGAGGATCTGGAACTTTAATGAGCTCTTTGAGTGATTCTTTTGTACGAGTCTGAGAATCACTGCACTGGGGCTAGAGGCTCTGTCTAGAGGCTCTGTCTAGAGGCTCACCTCGGGCAGTGTGGTGTACTGGGAAGAGCCTCTTTTTGTAGCAGTTCAACTACTCGCTCTAAGGAGATCTTGGACAATCACTTCCCTTCTCTAGGCCTCAGTTTCCTCACATGGAACATCTTGCAGTGGGCTCTCGGGCCCCTTTCGCTGCTCACGTTCTGTAACTAGGCTAACATGAAGCTGAGCTGTCTTTTACGCACAGCCTCAGTTAATTCTTAGTTAAGCACCTCTGAATTTTCCGTTTCATCAATCTCAGGCTAAGGTTGACTGACCCTCGCTCCCCAGTGTGCAGTGTGGCCACATTCTCTCTGTTGCCAGTTGATGTGCTTGTTGAGATGGCATATTAATTCTAATGATAATCAGAAATAACATTAGGTCTCAAAGTAGCACTAAGAAGGTAAATCTGCTGCAAAAAAAAACATGTCTAACAATTTTCTTTTATGATGGATACGAAAAAAAGAAGTCTTCATTGTCAAGTCTTGGCTGATGACCTATGTATTGGAAGGTCCAGAAATACCAAAGTATCCGTTCAGTGTAATGGGATTTGGCCTATATGCATTGTATAAGCTAAACAGTTGTCGTTTTTTGAATGTCCTCTATTTTTACTCTTGTGCAGGTAATAATAATAGTAACAATATTAATGTTAATAATAATGGCTAAAATTTTGGAGGACACATTATGTGCTATGTAAAGCACTTTACATTTATCTCATTTTAACCTCCTAAAAATCCTTCTCATGAAGTGAGGTAGGTACTGTTCCTGTCCCCATTTACAAATGCTGATAGAAAGATTGTGATTTAGTGGCAAGTCCTTCCGTGATACTTGATAACCAAGTGCACAGGGGCATGAGGTATAAGTCTGCGGCTTCCTTTCTTTGGTGCATGCTGAAGCTGTCACTGTGCTGGAAGATGCAGATTGCCTTATTGCCCAACACTCCAGATGTAGAAAGATTGTGGTTTGGTTGATTGGAGCAGAAATAGCCTGGTTTTATTTCCAGTCTTGCCCTTGACTTTTCTAAAACTTCCAGTGGGAAAATAATTTAACAATCTTTGTGCCACAGTTATCTTGTGTAAAATGTAATGGAAGGAAGAATGCTGGAGGGACTTCAGGATTCATTATCACATGGAAAGTGCTTTTAATTTATGAAATCAAGGAGTAATATGAATACCAACTGTTACTGAAGATTGATAAAGTCATTCATCAGTCATTTATCAAGAAAAAAATACTGTATTTGCAGTATACTGAGCAGCATGTTTCAGAACTCTTAATGGAAGGGAGCAGTAGTTATTTATAATTTAAACCAGTTCATAGAAACTTAAAGGATAAAGTTAGTGTATTTTGTTAAATGGCAAAATATTCAGTGGCTGATTCCTGAATTTTGTTTTGTAGATCTGGGACAGTCGATATTTTATACAACGACGTGTTTGCTACCCTTTCTCAATGACGATATTCTGAGTACTTTGCCCTACACGATGATATCAACGTTAGCTACCTTTCCTCCGTTTCTGCACAAGGATATAATTGAATATCTTAGCACATCTTTTCTACCAATGGCTATATGTAAGTTCAATCTTACCTAATACTAGATTATTTTTATATATTGTGCAAATTGAAATTGCTTTTGCTGTTTTAGGCTGTAGATTTTCAAGATTATAATGGAATCACTTGTATACGTGGGCTGTGATTTAAATTCAGTCATTTCAGCATGAATATTATGGTGAAAATCAAAGAAATGAAAGACAAGTATACTTTAGAATTGTTTTATTCATGTAGTTTGATCTTATAGAATAGGAAGAAAAATCATGTCAAGGCAGAGTCCGTATTTCCTACGTGTAAATTAGGGTATTTTTTGCCACTTTTGAAAAAAGGTGGAGAGAGTGTTGCGTCAGAAATAAAAATGCTCATCCTTTGCATCTGGAGGGAGTCGGGTGTGGGGAAGAGCAATAGAGAGAGTGAGGGCATGTCGATTCTAGGGTCAGCTCTGTCTGCAATCTGCTGTGTGACCTTGGGCAGCTCAAGGTTTCCTAGTTGAGACCCCATCTCCAGAACCATGACACACCAGCTTTCCCTCACAGGGGTGCTGTGTTGATGAAGTGAGTCAAAACTTAGGAAAACACTGAAAAATGCTAAGGCTTGCCACTCATGTGCAAGGTACTGTTATAAGTGTGGAACTGATTTGCATTCTATTTCATTTTTATGAACAATTTTGCAGGCTTTCCAGATATGCGAGCAAAGAGAGAAAAAAAGTTGGGTTGTGGTTTTCAAGGTTTTTATGATCCAAATCCTTCTAAAGTATTTTTTAAACAAATGGATTATAAATTGATCAATGTCTCAGTGAATAATCTGAAAAGAGTCAAACAGATCTAGATTCAAATCACAGCTCTGCTGCCAACTAGCTGTGTGACCTTGGGCGAGTTACTTACCTTTCTGTTTCTTAGCTATAAAATGAGAATAATAACAACAGCTGCCTTGTGAGGCTATTGTGATAATTGAGGTGATTAACCTGGAACATTGGTAACGTGCTAACACAATGGCTGGTGTTCAGTAAGTGTTGGTTTACTTTTCTCCTCTCAATTCTTGTTCCCTAAAAATACCTGTATTGGTCACATTCAATTTCTAGTGATCATTTTCACCGTTTTAATGTTATGCACTTATGATATTATTGAAGTTATTACTCTGTAATAACAATTGGTAAACATATGTACCTTTGAGCCACATTTATTTATTTTATAATCAAGCTTAATTTTAGCTATAGCATTGTAACTTTCATGTCTAAGCAAAGAGTCTGATTTCTGCCTAAATTATATAGCGACTCAAAGAAATTAGCAGACTGATTATATTGTTCAAGTAATAGAACATTTGATCGTTCTCTTTTTTTTGTCCTGTGGAACCTTACTGACAAGTACTTGCTTATGGATACAGTCCTAGGTTGTATAATCATATTTTTTGATAAGTATGTTAACTATTAAACTTAGGAGTAGGAATTCTTTTTTTTTTTTAAAGAATAGCAGGTGAGGCGGCGTCTATCTAATAATTGGTCTAATTTACTGCATCCCTGTTTCTTGGGAATAAGTTAATAATTTGGGGAGAGGCATTGGCTGTATTGGGCCTCTGAGGTTATTGGGACTGATCAAGCACTGTGACAGCTGGCAATTCGTTTCTTCACCCTTGACTATTAATTTCTACTTAATTAGAAATACAGACCTCAAAACATGCCTTATAGTCACATTGGGATCCTTACTTATTTAAATGTGTGAACCTTGGCAACTGAGGAGAACAAAGCTGAGTTTACAAAATCTGTGTGAATTTTAGTGCTTCTTGGTAGAGTAACTTGGTATTCATTTAAAGGTATAAGTAAGTTGCTTATGTCTCTGGGATTCCATTTTTTCTCAACTGTAAAGGAGGGTTTTGGAAAAAATGTTCCATCTCTAAGTTTATTTCTGGCTTAATAATTCTAGGTTAAATAACATCAATTTTATTTTATGTAAGAGACGCATATCTTCCTCTAACCCACTCATTGATCTGGTTCATTTATTCTATCCCTCTGGTTTTAGTCTCTTAGTTCTGACTTTTGTTTCTCATCACCATTCCTATGGTTCAGTAATAGCCAATCTTTATCATCTTTAAATCTTCGAAAATAAATTGCAATGCCAACAAAATTTAAAGCCAAATTCTGTGAAATGATTCAGGTGTTTGTTTTGTGCTTGTTCCTTCACAAGGGAGATACAAAGACACAGACCCAAAGATGGAAGGGATCAAGTTCCAAATTAATTACGTTACAGTGAACTGCTGCGAGAATGTGTGTCTGTTGCTTGCATCCATGTTGTTTCTATTTTTGGGAGTTGTTCCAGTGTCTAGAAATTCTGACCCAAACAAGAGAGGAGCGTTTAACTTCTTCCAGAATATTTTTATTTCGGGACTGAGCTGTTAGGATGACACATGTTGCGTTTTCTGAGTACTTGATAAATTCTTTAAGACGATAAGGCTTTTATGTCTTTGGTATGGTGTTTGCAAGGTCAAATGTCAAACATGGACAGTACTGCAGGTGTTAAATGATTATATCATTAAGGACCTAGAGGGTGAAGTTCTGAGCTCTGGAGTGGATCTTTCAGTTTAAGAGCCCTGCATATGTTTCAGTTATGTCCTTCATGTCATTTTTGTCAGTAAACCAAGTACTGTGCTTTTAAATAACTCTTTTTCAGGTGCTGCAGCGCAAACTGCAATTTATTATAAAAATTTCCTTTGACATAACCTTTTCTTTTTAACTCCTTCCAATAATAAAATATACTTCTTTTTATTCCATGTGTGTGCAATTTTCTTTGTTTATAAAAAAATATTAAAGGAGTTACTAAGAATTGAAAATGTCATTTGCATTTCACCATGGAAACCTCTCTTTTTCCAATAAAGGATCTGTGATTTATGGACCAAATTGAAATATGGATGTTGGGAAGATGATACTTTGGCAGAGAAGAGAAAAAGTGGATCCCAAATGAGCATGAATTGATGTAGGTTATGTTATTTCAAAGATGATGATAAAGCTGAACCGTTCTATCAGTGAGAGACCCTTCTACTGTATCTTGGTACCCTGAACTGTGCAGTCTCATCTAGTTTCTTTGCCAACTTAAATTTCCTCAAAAAGTCACTTACTCTCAGGAAAAATAAAGCTTTCTTCAGATCTTTGCATTGACTTAAAAGCGACTGTGTGACTTGATTGAATATCTGGTTGCAGACCATTGGCTCCAGATCACTTTTAGTTCTGCTCCTACAGGGGGTACATGTTATGTTTCTATGATCTTCTGAAAGCTAATAAATATGTAGAAAAAAAGACAGTCAAAAACCAACGCAAGATATTGATGGTATTTAAATAATCTTCTATATATAAAGTCTGTTTTATTAGCTAGTGATTATTTTTGTAAGGTAGGTCTTACTATACTTTAAGAGCTATATTGTTGAGTTGGGGGAAATGTTTTGGAATAGGAATCCAGAGGAGCTGAATTGTAGTTCTTTGACTATTGGCAAATCGCTTAACCTCATCAAACTTTGATTTCCTTAGCTGTGAAATTTTGAATAATCGTAACCTCCCCTGTCTACATCCCATGTTTGTTGTGAAGACTGTAAGATAACATAGGAAATGCCCGTGAATATTGTATCATGTTATACAAGTGTATGACAGACCAAACCCATAGTCGAATGGCAGACATCAAATCCCATTGCAGCGAATTCCAATATTCTGCTCAAATTCACATGTTGCCCTCAAATTTTATCATCTTAAATATTGCTTGAGATAAGGGGTCGTCCTCTGGGGCTTGTGATGTTTTTCCCCTAGAGTTTGTTGTATAATAACAGGGAGTTTTATAACAGGTTTTGATCTCATAGAACCTGAGTACACTCTGCAGTGTTGATGGGCAGTCCTGTCTCTCTGATTTTCGTTAATCTACCAGTCTGCAAGTATTTTAATGCTGCGTAGACTTCTGCGTCATGGTGTCTCAGTCTTCCCATTCTGTTGAGCTGATCTGCCTTTCTAAAGGCATGGGTGTCTTATGTTCAAACCCTGTCTCATGGACCACCGTTAGCTCCGCTTACACAGAGAGCGCTTGTTAATTCAGGCATGCCCTCTGCAAACCACAGGAAATGGTTCTGGTGTATGCAGAACGGACACCAGCCTGTGCTGCTTCTTCCCAGACAACTCCCTTACCTTTACCCCTTGAAAATGTACAAGGCGAGGGGGGTTGTTTAAATATTTTCCAATTCAGACCACTTCTTGCCACCAGCTCTCATATGGACCAGTCCAAGAGCTTCCAAACTGGTCTCCAGCTTCTACACGTAGCCCTCCTACAGCTGTTCTCCACCAAAAAGCCAGAGCTATCCTCCAAATGTGTAAATCAGATCGCCTCCCTTCCTGCATCAAAACCATCTAGTAGCTTCCCATCACTCTTAGAATCAAACTCAGTGTCCTTCCGGGGCCCCTGCCCACCTGCTATTGGTCACTGCCTCTCCTGGGTTCACTCTGCATTGTCCGCATTGGTCTTCCTGCAGTTTCGTAAAGGCACCAAGCTTTTGCTTTTGCTTCAGGCTCTTCCCCTTTGTCTTAATAGCCCTTCTCCAACACGGTCACTGGATTTGCTTCCTCACTCTCTTTAGGTAGATCTTGACTCAAGTGTCACATCTTTGAGATGCCCTTACTTACGCTTTAGCTAAAATAGGTCCTTCCCTCATTTTTGATTCCCTTGCCTTGCTTTCTATTTCTTTACAAGTATTTGTTTGCCCATTCCTCTAGAACAGTGCTGTCAGGGAACTTTCTGTGATGATGGAAATGTTCTAAAAAATTGTGCTGTGCTGTCCAATACAGCAGCCACTAGCCATATGTGGCAACTGAGCTCTTGAAATGTATCTACTGAGACAGGAACTGCATTTTCAATTTAATTGAATTTTAACTAGTTTAAATAGTCACGTATGGCTAGTGGCTACCATGTTGGATAACACAGCTCTAGCATTTAAGCTCCATGAGGACAAAGACTTGCCTATCTTGTTACAGTTTGGTCTCTGGGCCTAGAACAACGCCTGGTACATAGAGGTACTGAAAAAATACTTCTTGAATGAGTGAGTGATTAGAGCACGAGCTACGAAGTCAAGTGACTTACGCTGTAGTCCTAATAATTGAGTTGGTGCTCTCATGCAAATAATTTGATTTCTCTTTTATAAAATGGCTTTTTCATATACTTATTTTTTTTTTGGCAAGAATCATATAAGAGCTATACATGATGTACATTGGGAACTGTAAAATGCAGGAACAGATTAAGGAATTGTTGTTCATAGGGGGAGGGGATGGTGGTAAAGGTTATTCTGGCGGTGCTGGGAGGATCAGGGAACAGGTCTTAAAACATTTGATTGCGTTTCCTGAGCACAATATTAAATGTAAAATTTTCTTATTTTGATTAATTCTCTTCTTCCTTCCATCGCATGTAGCTTTGGCTTTATACACCCTCATGGGGACAAGCTGCACATCTGTTTACATCATGTCTTTTTAACAAGGTTCAATAAATGATGTGTGCCTGCGCATGTTTATTAAATTAGGATAGTGGTGATTTTATTCAGTCAGTTAGAAGGCTAAGAAATTGCGAGGCACCGTCTGCTTATATAAGTATTGCAGCCAATTTCCTAGGGCTTGAGCCAGAGGAACGCTTTTGGCTTTGTGGCTGACCATAGTTGAGGGAGAGCATGGATCTGTAGGGGTGGAAGGGACATCCAAAGGTCACTGAGCCATTTGGGCTATTCTCCAAATAGACTTCACCTAAATCATTCAAGACATTTGGGCATCTCTCCCATTTTTAAAGGCCTCCAGGCACAGTGATTTTTAGCCTCCTTTAATAGTAGTTTTCATTTTTTTAGGAACACTTATTAAAAAGTTTGAGGTCAATTTAAACAAAGGTGAAAACACTTGTCCCAAAGGGAATATATATATATATATGTATGTATGTATATATATAAATAACATTGTTTTTCCTTGAGGATGTCAGAGACTTTTCTTTCTTTCTTTCATTTCCCCCTTAAACAAAGGGCTCAAGGAGCATGCAGTTATTTCTCCTGCACCTGGACACCTTGCTCAGCGTTTCCTTTCTTATTTCTCGTCCCTCTAGCCGTACTTCTCAGAGGTCCAGTGCCTTCTTGCATCAGAGGCACTTGATGTGCTCATTAAACATGTCGCTTTCCTGCTTCCGAACTGTCTGAGCCAGACTCTCTAGGTACGGGCCCCCGAGAGCTGAATGTGTGCAAGCTCCCTGGCTGAAGGCTGACAGCAGCCGCATTTTGTTCTTCAGCATTTGGCTCCATGTTCTTTTTCCTTGATTGATCATATTTGATTAAGCAACTTTACTATCTAAGAGCAATGAACTGATCTCTACATCTTTGTATAATTATTAATACTTATTTGTGTTGTATAGACAAACTAATTTATCTACCTGAACATCACCTGCTTGGCGGGTTGGCAGCAGCCCAGCTACAAGTGATTAATAAAAGCAAACTCAATAAACGGAACTTAATGACAGATTTGTTTTATTTGTTAGTTTGCTTATTTCTGTAAAGCTATTGTAAAGGCCACCATCCATTGTAGTGCTCAAAGTCCTTTATGTAAAAAAAAATAGAATCATATTAAATTTTGTCTTTGTCTACTTTATTATATGACAAATATTTTATTAGATTTTAATGATTCTTTTATAGATGTGTTTATTATAAGTTGCTTTATTCTTTTTGGATGTAGGTGAGATATTATTCCCACATATTATACTTTAAGATAAAATAAAATAGAGTAAAGCAGATTTTAGAGTTATCTGCTTTTTTCGTTGTTGCCCTTGATAGTGGTCTTCACCATTGTGTGTAGGAAATTGAGAGTAGACATCTTGAAGGTGTTATACTCACTGTATGTGTTCTGTTCATGCTTTCTCGACAATTGGCACATAAGCCCGATTGTGAGGAGAGGTTTCTCCCACTTTTGCAATTATGCCTGAGAAGAGGAATTCATTTCATATTTGAGTCCTTATAAAGTTCCTCCTTCCTCCTGTTGTGGGCTCTCTCTTAATTACTGTGTTCAGAATAATAAAGTACTCTTTGCAGACAACATATTACTCTGGGTGACCTTCGTCAATGCTAGCTTTGAATGCTTATTGGGGTTACCTGAACACTCTGTTCAAGAAGGGAGAGAAAGAAATTTAACATAGTGTTGGATGTCATCATAAACAAGCCACTTAAAGATGTCTTAACAGCGGCATGTAAGTGGTTATCTCCTGGAGACCACGATTATACAACTATAAGATGAACTTTGAAGAAACCAACTTGCTTCGTGGTTGAATACTTGTGGCACGGGATAAAATGTTCAGCAACAGTGTTATTCACAGATTCAAAGATTCAAAAAGTGCTTTATTTCAAACAACTCAGCTGGATATGAAGATGGTAAGCTCTGGAAAACTGAAAAAGTGGTTCTCATGGTGATAAAGATGGTGGTGATGAAGTTACATGTGAAGGTTTGAATAAACTTGTGTAATGATATGTGAGAGTTGAAAATCATTTTTAAATTAATATACTATTTTTTATAATATGTGATTTAAAATTGGTGTGTGTAACTAAATTAATAAGTTGCCCATTATAAGTAGACTGTTATTTCATCTGCATCTCTAAAAGTTAATACTTTCAAGTTGGGTTCAAAACCTTTTATTTTTACTTTCTTGTTGGGATAGACTTCAACATGCTTTTCTATATATTTGGGTATTGGAGGATTCTGGGTTTTTTTTTCTTTTCTACCTAGATATAAATGTCTTGGGAGCAGAGATCACATCCAAGCACAACTCTGATAAAGCCACTACATCATATTCTGGCAGTGTTTCTGCTCCTTGTAGATTCTCACTGGATGTTTGCTATTGATGGTGACGGTGTAGCATTTGTATGCTAGGACAAATTTTGTGGTTTTATTTGTGCAAAACTCCCACTGATTTGGTTGGGACTTTTAAAAAAAGTTTCTCCTCAGCTCTCAGGCACTATGCAAAGTAGCAAGTATGTATATAGATTAATTGTGTCTAATCATAAAAATTTTGTTTTCAGTGGGTTCCTCCAGGAGAGAAGGCGTTCCCGCCCATGTCAATCTCTCTGCGTCATCCATGCTAATGATTGCAATGCAGTACACATCCAACCCAGGTACGTGGGAGTTTGGGCAAGAATAATTCCAAAACCAATAAATAAATAAGTCATCAAACAAGCAGGTGAGAAATTCTCGTGTGAGAAGAACTTCTCTTGGTGGAGAGACAACTGGAGATGTGTTAGAAAACAGAAGAGTTGAGATAAATTTCCCTTGCCTGTTGCTCTGAGCAGTAATCTTGCTGGCTGGTGACGTTCTTAGAATGTTGGAAGACACAATTTTAGAACATTGACTGGAAATTGATTGAATGTGAGTGTATAGGAATAAAGTAGAAATAGAAGAATCCACCTGCAATTCTCATAACTAGAGATAAACACTGTTAATATTTTGTGAATTTGCTACTGTTGCCACACAAGTGTCTTTGAACCTAGATCTTTTACTACATTTTTGATTATTTTCTTAGATTAAATTCATAAAAGAGGGATTAATGGGTTACAGGGCTTGAAAAAATTTCAATAGTCTCATAATTATATGTGAAAGTACACTGTGACCTGTCATTAAGTATTATCATAAAATTTGCACACAGTTAGACAGATGAAAAATAATATCTCATTGTTTTGATTTGTATTTCTTCTGTTACTAGTGATGTTGGACAGGTTTCATATAGTTTACTCCGTGATTTTCATTCATTAGTATAACTGCAGACAAACTTTGGGGAACTGACCTAAAAAGGGGCTGACTGTTGGAGTCACATGTTAAGATGCAAACTCGGTTTTAATTTTCATTTAATTTTTTTTGGAAAGTGAACAAATTTGGTTGTACTGTTTTCAACCTTCTACTTAATTACGTAATAAATAATAACTGAGTTTTTGACTCAGGATGAGGAAAATTTTTTTTTTTTTTTTTAAGATTTTATTATTTCCTTTTTCTCCCCAAAGCCCCCCGGTACATAGTTGTATATTCTTCGTTGTGGGTTCTTCCAGTTGTGGCATGTGGGACGTTGCCTCAGCGTGGTCCGATGAGCAGTGCCATGTCCGCGCCCAGGATTCGAACCAACGAAACACTGGGCTGCCTGCAGCACAGCGCGCGAACTTAACCACTCGGCCACGGGGCCAGCCCCGAGGAAAAATTTTTTTTGTTTTAAAATCTTAACACTTCTTAGTTTGGAGTGTCATCCTTTAAATATGAAATCCCTTAAGATTATTATATGAGTTTAATTAAAATGTATATTTTTTGGAAGTTATGTCTCATCTCACTCTGTCTGGCTTGAAGGACTCTCAAAATGTTGTTTATATTTCTTATATATTATATTCTGAAAAAAACCCTTCATTTGGAATCTAGTGAATTGAAGTCTCGTCAGGAGGCCTTGGTCCTAATTTCTAAGTTGGGAGACAGTAAAGCAGAGTGGGGCAAATCATGTGCTTTGAGGTTAGATGTATATGTGGGTTCATATCTAACCGCCCCGAGAAGTGCCAGTTAGTGAACCTTTCAACCTCCCTAAGACCAAGTTGCCTCATCTGTAAAACGGGCATAGTTCTTCCGGCAGTGCCTTAGGATGTTGTGGTGAGGATTTAATGAGTTAAGTGTGTGCAAAGTGCTTCCTTAGCTTACTGACAGGCACATTGTAACTGCTCAATAAATAGCAATGCAGATTGCTACAGTCTGCCATTTTCCTCTTGGAGTTGAGTGTTTCACTGGGAAATCACTGTGATTGGATCGAGGTATTTCTGTTATTTCCAAATCTATATCTTCACACGTTCACGGGGGAACATTTACAGCCTATTCTATACTAAGAATTGTATTTGGGACCCAAAACTAGTCTTTTGGGAAACTGTTAAGAAGTGAGGACATCCAACGGGGGCTCTCTGAGGCCAAGTGGGGGGGCATCATTGTATTGTTTGACTTTTTATTGAGGGAGACAGCAAGTGGCAGCTTGTTCCTTGTAGCTGATTATGTGTCAAGGATCGGGCACAGACCTTGTTCAGCTAAAAGGCGTTCGTTCAGTGATTCCAATGTACACGGCTCTGTGCTAGGCATTGTGAAAACTGCCCAGAAAGGTAAGATATGGTGCTTGCTGTGGAGCTTATGTCTAATTGGGAAGATTAGGCATATTCACATAAATCATTAATTTATAATGTAAAGTAATATGTGAAAAGCACAAAATAAATACTGTAGACAGTGTTGATTCGTCAGAAGGAGAGAACTCTATGGATTGAAATAATCTGGAAGGGTTTTGTACCACTTAAGTGCAGTATGGGTCTTAAAATATGGATAAAGTTTTGATTGATAGGGTAAGTGGGACATTCTGGGAGGGGGAGCAGTTTAAGCAAAGTACTCTCCAGGTCTGTTCACAGGGCAGTCAGTGGACTACTCTGTGCCAGGTTCATGGAGCAGACAGGTGGAGAATAGAATAGCAGACACTGTGTAAGAGAAAGGGGCCTCGAACATCTGCACCTAAGAACCCAATTCCAATTCCAGAGGGCCGTTTATATCTTCAATAAATAGTCAATGAATATTTACTATGTGCCAGGTACTGAGGACACCATGGTTAGCAAAACAGAACTGACGCCTGCCCTCACCTCCTGAAGCTTACCAAATGGTGTGGGGGAGAAGACATTAATCAAATAATTATCAAAGCAAATGTAAAATTTCGCCTGTGACAAGTGCTCTGAAAGATGTACGTGTGCTACAAGACCCTGTAAAAGGGGATTTTTCTTTTATTGAAGAGGTCAGGGAGGGCTTCTCTGGGGAAGTGACCTTTGGTCTGAGGACTGAAGGAGGAGTAGCATTAACGAGGCCTACTGGGGTGGAGGGTTCAGGCAGAAGAACCTCGTGTCAGAAGGGAGCCTGGCAAGCAGGTGGGACTGAAAGACCAGTGTAGCTGGAGCTTGGAGTGAGAGCTGCCTCGTGTGAGATGAGACTGTAGACTTCCGCAGGCCAGAACACGCAGGATGTCATGGGTTTTGTTTGGGAGTCCTGTGTTTATCCCAAGTCGAATGGGACAGTCCTGAAGGACTTTGAGGGATTATGTATGTGTCACCCTGACTGCAGTTGAGAATGGGTTAAAAAGGAGCCAGAGTGGATGTAGATTGACCCAGGAACAGGCCATTGCATTTGTCTAGGCATATAAAAGGCATGGGCAATTGAGATTGAGAAAAGTGGATACGTCCAAGAGCTATTTAGAAAGTAAAATGGATAGGACTTGGTGACATATTGGATATGGTGGGTTTTCAGCTTGTATAACTGGCTGCATGGTAGTTCTATTCACTGAGAAGGGAGACACTGGAACAAGAAGATCAGGCTTCCCAGGAAATCTCTGTTTTGGACATGTTGTATTCAAGATGTCTTTGAGACATTTAAAAGGACATGGTACACCTTGGACTAATACAATGTTATATGTCAATTGTATCTCAATAAAACTGGAAAAAACCCACATATAACCTCAGTAATAATTCTATATGTCCCAAACACAAAAATGCAAGTAAATCAGCTTCCTTAAAAAAGGGAAAAAAAGAGGTGATAGTAATTAGGAAGCTGTGTGATGAGTCTGGAGCTCAGAACAGAGCTCTGGGCTAGAGGTAATGAACTTTGAACCTACACGTAAGAGTCCGATGATGTTTACTTAATTGCATATAGATGGTAACTGAAGTTGTATATGAGTGTGAGATTGCTTAGGAGACAGCATAGAATGAAAAGTGGAGTGGGTTTATGATCAGGCCTCCCGGAACTCTAGCAGGTGTTCCCCAGTGGAAGAGGATGAGCTTGCCAAGGAGGCAGAGGGGTTGTATCTGTTAGGCTGTGTTTGGCTGACTAACAGAGGCTTTAAACTATAAAAATGTTTGTTGTTTACTTAGTAGGAAGTCTTGGAGATAGCTGCAGAGTATCAGGGGGCTGAGATGGCTTTCTTTTTGTTTCTCTTGGACCTCCCCTCCTGTTTGCAAGATGGCTGCCACAATGGAGGTTATTATATCCTTATACAATCACATCCACAAACAGGTAATAGGATCAGTCAGGGTAATTAGAGAAAGGTCTCCTGGTTTGTCTCTTTCCTTTTATCAGAGAGAAAAAGTGTCCCAGAAGCTCCCAGGCAGATTCTCTCTTAGGTCTTACTGGCCAGAACTGAGTCACATGGCCATCCGTAGCTGCAAGGAGGTCTGAGAGAGTATCTTGCTCTGTAGCCTGTGTACTGGGAGATGGATAAGGAAGAAAGGGTTGTTGATAGCAGCTGAGTAGCAACAACAGTGTCCACCACAGGTGATAGGAGAGGGTTAGTCACGAAGTCAGGGGAAGAGAGTGCTTTAAAAAGGAGACAGTGGTCAGCAGTGCTGAATGCTGCTGAAGGTCAAGCAAGAGACAGACTGAAAGTTGCCCATTGAATTGAACATCACGGAAGTCACTGGTGACTGAAGTGAGACCTGTTTCAGTGCCATGATAGGGTTGGAAGATAGACTAGGGAAGGTATAAATCAGGTATCTAACTGGGGTGAAAGCATCTTTCTTCCCGAAGTCAACGTAGGCAGATCGTAGAAGTTTACGGTTGTGTAGCTTTTAAGAATTCCTCAACGAGATGGAATTGGTGATCAAATGATAGAAGATTCCCATTCTAAGTCCGTTATTTGCTTTCTGTCCCACCTTTGGTGAGATAGGAAACTAAGCCTCAGTTTCCTAACTGCAACATGGTGGTTCTGAGACAGCAGGTGCAAGGCTCTTAGCAAATGCCGACACACAATGAATGCTCCGTAAATGTGAGCTTGTAGTATGATCCCATTAGGCTACTTTTTTTCCTATGTAGTTTTTGATTACATTGACATAAGTTTATGTTATGGAAGTATGATTACTAGGGATCTTTCTTAATACTTCCTTTGTTAATAAAATGAAAGATCTTGGAATAAAACTTGATAAAGTCAAGGGATTATGTGGTTTTTGAAAAGTATGAATATATAGAAATAAGTTCTAATTTAATGATTAGAGTGAGAAATAAGTAAGTTCTAATTTAATGATTAGAGTGAAAAGTCATGCTAATATAGTTTATTAAATATCAGAGGATTTTTTTATCTGGTATTTACATTTCATGTTCAAATTACATTTTCTTCTTTACAGTGTATCATTGTCAATTATTGGAATGCCTCATGAAATATAAACAAGAAGTCTGGAAAGTAAGTTTTGGACAAAATTTAACTCATAGTCACAAACTTGATTTGTACAGTATAGTAAAAATTGTTTGCATATTAAAACTATTGTTTAGGTCAAATTTATTTATGTCTTACTATTTTGGTGTGGTAGAACCTAGAATTATTTCCTTACTGGTTAATTTTTATCATTTAGAGCAGAAGTGGTACTTGAAGAACACAGTGGCTTGATAAAGAAAGTAATTGGATATCTCTTATACTTGGAATTCAGCAAATACTATATTATGTGGCGATTTTATTTAATTTGAAATGTTGCTTGAGAACCTGTCTTCTTTCAAATAGGAGATGTGAATTGTTAAGAAATATGTTTTAGGAAAATATTTTTTAAAATACAGTCTTTGACAAACTCGCTAATGCTATTCTAAAATTGTTTGACATTATTCTGAGTAGAGGAGAATTTATTAAAAGATGGTGTACTTTTGAATGCTACCTGGGGGGTTTATTTATGAGACCAATAAATAAATAATAAAAAATAATATTTTCATATGATCTAATCTGAGAAGCAACCTAGATGATGAGATTCCAGAGAAATTTGCCACCTCAACCCTTCCGTTGGAATTTTCACTGCTTTGGTAATATTGAATGAGCTACTTTTATTTTTATTTGATAAGTCAAAGTATGCTTCCTGTTTCCTTTAGGATCTTTTGTATGTGATAGCCTATGGGCCTTCACAAGTGAAACCTCCAGCTGTGCAAATGCTGTTCCATTACTGGCCCAATTTAAAGCCTCCTGGGGCAATAAGCGAATACAGGGGCTTGCAGTACACAGGTAAGAGAAGAATGGTTCTGTGGTGCCCCATCTTTATTTCTCCTACGACGTCTTTGCCTCACCTACTTATATATTTATTTATCTTGCTGGATTATATTTACATGCCTTTAGACATTATTATAATCCTTTCTGAAACTAGGTGGTATAAAATAAATTAATTTCAAAAGCACTTACGACACCATAGCAGATTGCCTAAGTCTCAGTCTCCTTTGCCATACGCCTGGCCTGTGGTCTAACTACTGCTAACGTGAGTCACTACAAAGGTGAGTGATGCTGCAGATTTGCTCACCGGTTAGCAAAACCCCAGGTGGCTAATTCTGCTCTGATAAGAAGACTTGGAGCACGTTCAACATTACCGGTTCATACACTAAATAAAAATTAAGTGATCGTGATAGCCTGGTTGGACAGGAAGAGTCAACAATTGATGAATATTTGTCTAACTAATGACTGAGAAGTAAATGCTGAATTTAAATGTAAAGATGTATAGTTACCAAAAACCAAACAAGCCCCAGGTCCTTTGTTGTTTATGTTTATCTACTATAAAATCAAAGAAGCAACCTATGGCTGATGGAGTTTGCCCCTGACTACCCTCTCCTCCCACTTAATTGTGTAGATATTTTTCTGAAAATGAGAGAGGTGGATGTTTTGGCAAAGTTAACTTTTATTCATGTTATTGTGAGATTGTATACTGATGTTCTGAGTCTCTACTTTCTTGAAATCACTCTTCTTTCCAAAGGTGTCTTGAAGTCATTCAAAAGGGATTTAACTTAATTCAGGTGTCTGATTTATGTTCCTGATTAAAGCCAAGTGTTAGAGATATTAATGACTGTTTTTTGGCCTTTGATGGTCCTTGGTGGGCTTATTCTAAACTCAGAACAAATAATATTGGCCTTAGTGATAACAATATTAATTAAAACAATGAGGGTAGATAGTAAGTAAATTTTAGAAAAATGAAAATTGGTATCATTTCTGTTTTATTCTCTACCAATAGTAGAGAATGTCCAAGTGTTGTCAAGTGGATAATTTGAATATAAAAGCAGGAAAAAAGTTGGAAGCATTAATAAAATAAAAGGTGAAATGACTGAAATATTTGACACCAACCCCTTCTCAATAGATCCCTGAAATAAGCATTTACATGATGTGTGAATGGGTAACCAGTATCAAATGAAATTTACTAAGTTGGTGAATATTTGTAGAGTAACTATTATGTGCCAGGCACTAAACTTTTTGTTGATGGTATAAGAACTGACACAAAACCAGACCTCATGGAGCTTAATGGAATCTAGATATGGAAATTCATTCATTTATTGAACAAATATTTATGAAGTATCCACTATTAGCTAGGCATTATTCTAGGCACTGGTGGAAAGTGATGGAAAAAACAGACTAAAGTCATGAATATCTTGGCATGTACATTCCAGTTGTGGGGAAAGATCAGGAAATCTCCTTACAGTGTAATAGGTGCTAAGGTAGAGCAAGTACAGAGAGCTGTGTGAACACACAGGAGGGACCTCTAACCTCACCCTGATGGTGGGCAACTTTGGGTAGGGTTAACTTGTCAAGGAAGGTTCTCGAGTGAGTGATGTGTAGGGGAATACTTGAAAGATGTGTGCACCCTGGACGTCAAAAGGGGAGTGAATCATGAGTGAGTCTGAGGCAGAAGGAACTGCCTGGGTTTCAGACTTGGAGGCCAAAGACAGTATGGTCGTAGTTAGGAGCTAGAAAAAGTCATATGCAGCCAGACAGTGGAGTGGCAGGAGGAGAGGAGCCAGACGAGGTAAGCAGGAAGCCTGACAGGGCTGGTGAAGGAATTGAATTTTATCCTAACGGCAAAGGGAAACCACAGACAGGTTTTAGATGGAGAAACCACGTGATGAGATTTTCCTGTCTGGAGCATCCCAGAAGACCAGCAGATGGACAGCCACTTCCATTTACCCCTGTGACCCTACCGTCTCCGAAGGGCCAGCCAAACCTGTCTCCCTAGAGTGGCTCTGCCTCTGCATACTAAGATCAGAGTGACTCCTTCACCTTCTCTTGGCCTTTCTAGACAAGACGCCTCTGTCTATGGGCCTTTATTCTTCTGTCCCTCGTGTAATCATACCTCTGCACACTTCCGTTCTTTCAACAGTGTGTCATTGTGTGCCTGCTACTTGCCAGGCACTAAGGCCCTGGGGAGGAAGCTCTCTTGGAACTCCCATTCTAGGGGACCATGGCACTCTATGCAGGAAACAAGAGATCATAAAAAAAATTAATCATTCTGATCTGTGTTTGACTATTTATCCAACACTGGCTGCTTGTCAGACATTGTTCTAGTTGCTTAGTATCTCATTTAGTATTTTAGCCTTCTGCTAATTGAACACAATTTATGGACCAAGCACCATTTTGGGTTTTACAGACATTTTCTCGGTTAATCCTCACAAAAATCTTGAGAAGTGGGTTTTCTTCTTTCAATGTTACAGATGAGGAGTGGGACACAGAGTTTAAGTAACGTCCCTAAATTCACACAAATTACAAGGGAGCACAGCTTGAATTTCAACCTACATCATCTTCATTGAAAACTCACAGTTTTCTGTTCTAACAGGGTGACATCACTTCTGTCAATTCAGTTCTTTAATTAACCTTCAACTGGAGCATTAGAAATTTTCTGCATTGCGTGTCTCAATGAAAGATGCACTAAAGGACATCAGTATTTAGGTGGCACTACAACCCTAAATATTCTTAATAATAAAAATTATATGGAGACAGAATTTTAGGGGTTGGAAGCTCAAAGATGAAATGCTTTCTTAGGGACCAGCAGCTTTTGTATGTTTTCCCAGTAATTTATTTCCTTTTTAAAAAGTAAATTTCCTTTTTTTTCTGAGGGAGATTAGCCTTGAGCTAACATCCACTAATACCCACCGCCAATCCTCCTCTTTTTTGCTGAGGAACCTTGGCCCTGAGCTCACATCCGTGCCCATCTTCCTCTACTTTATATGTGGGACACCTGCCACAGCATGGCTTGATAAGTGGTCCGCAGGTCTGCACCCGGGATCGGAACTGGCGAACCCTGGGCCGCAGAAGTGGAACATGTGAACTTAACCGCTGCGCCACCGGGCCGGCCCTCGCTTCTTTTTTGTAAAAGGAAAATCTGCTTTTAGAAAAGTAAGAAGGAAAAAAATGGTACTATCCAGAAATGACCACTGTTAACATTTTGGTATATTCCCTCCAGTGTTTTTGATGCACATTTTAAAATAAAATAGGCATCATATTCTATATAGTTATACAAGATTTTCCCCCAACCTTTTATTATGACATTTTTCAAATACAGAAAAGTTTAAAGAATAACTCTATGTACACACATATAGCCACATAGATTTAATAATTGTTAATAATTCACAATAATTTTAACTGTGCATATATATGTATATAAATTATTTATTGCTTTTTAAGCATAGTCACATAGGAATATTTACAACTCATATGAAGAAGATCAACTAGTGAGGGTTTGGAAGGCAGCTCTGCTCACCACCATATCACCAGCGCACACTAAGTAGTGGGAATTTGGTAATCTACAGTATTTGCCTCTTTTGGGTTTATTAGTATTTATCTACAACAAAAACTACTCCAATTATTTTGGTCATTAAATATGAGTCTTGAAGATGCAAGAATTACAGTGTTTCCTGGCAATGAAAGTAGCCATTACGCTGTTCTATAAAACTCTGCTTCTGTGGGGGAGAAAGAAATTATTTAGCAATTTTCTTGGTACAGTGTCCCAACTAGTAGGTAATTTAGACTTTGTTTAAGCAAAGATAGCACCAGTTAATTGTGTAGTTTCCATCTGGACTATGGGACAAAAGAAGTGGCACAAGATATATGTTTCTGAGACAGAGACTGTTGCAGAAGTAGATAGAGAATAACTTAAGATAGCACTACAAGGTTAAGCTTTGGTCTGGGCTGCCAGATATCCAACCCGGCGTTAGTACACTTGGATTCTGGGGTTGTCTACAGTTAACTACAAGGTCTACCGGTCCTATTATGTCATAACTTCCTCAATATTGAGTTCTTTTTCACCTCGACTTTGTCCCGTAATTAGAAACAATGTTTTAAACCTTTTTTATTGGTGCATTATACACGTGTAGAAAAACACACAAATTAGAAGTGTATGTGGATTATGTCCCACCGTGTTTACCATCATGATTACCTCTTCCTTCTATCCCAAAGGTGACCACTAACCTAACTTCCAACGTCAGAAATTAGTTTTGCCTACTTTTGAATTTTATGTAAATGGAATCATATGTTATTTATTTGTGTGTGTGTGATTTGTCCATGGGTTGAGCATAACTGTGCTTCATTCATTTCTGTTGCTATATATATTCTACCAAATGAATGTACCACAGTTTATGTATTCATTTTACTATTAATGGATATTTGGGTTGTTCTCACTTTTTGGGTATTACAAATAATGCTGCTATGAACATCCTTTGAATATCTTTTGGTATACACGTGCGCAGATTTCTGTTCAGTATACACCTAGGGTAGAATTGTTGGATCAGAGGTGTGTATATATCCACTTTTAGTGGATCCAAAAGGGTTGTAGTAGTTTGTACTCCCATTAGCAGTGTGTGAGAGTTCTTTTTGTCTATATTTCACATTTTGGGCAATGCTTTGTTTTCAAAATTTTAGTCATTTTCCAGGGTATCCTATTGTGGTTATAATTTGCATTTCCCTGATGTCTGTTGATTAAATGAAGTTCTTATTTCTAATGTAATCAAAGTAGTCATCTTTTTGTTTGTATAAACTGCTTTTTATATCCTATCTAGGAAAATCTTTTGCTACTCCAAAATTATGACAATATTCTTTGTTATCTTCTAGACTATTTGGTTTTTACCTTTTACATTTAGATGTATCTGGAATTAATTTTTCTGTATGGTGTGAGGTAAGGGTCAATTTTTTTTTATCTCTTATGGATAGCCAGTTGACTCAATGTCATTTATTGAAAATGTTTTCCTTTCCTTAATGTT